TCCATCTACGAACATGCCAAAAAAACACTCCCACATATAAACAGACCACTGCAAACAAGCTAACAGATAGGCTGGGCTACCCAAGGTTCTTGAGATTCTCCATCCTCAACCATGGAAGGAGCTGAGGAACGGGGTGATCCGAACTTGGGATTATGAAATTTTGCTGGCAATTTGCTGGGTTCCAGAATATCACCACCCACATTGCTCAAAGCACCACTGCACTTCAGCCCCCCAAAACGTTCAGCACAGTGACTCTAGGATCCCATGAGGAGACCAAGGCTGGGGTTTCCATGGAGAACATCCCCACCGAGGTGCGGGAGGAGCAAGGAACGCATGTATCAGATGGCCCGAGTGAGCACCGAGGAGGCTGGGGAACTGTCCCCTGAGCTGCCGGGATGAGGTTCTGTCTTTGAACAAAGACACTGTCTGTCTGGAAGCAAAGAGTGAACAGATGCCCCACTGTGCTGCAGGAAGGAGGGGTTATGCTCAACCAGGTCCCGGCCAGTCCCCGTTCCTGAGTTTCCCCTGGAGTCCTGGGGGCCCCTTGGCTCCACGTGCAGGGGAGGCCGTCTCTGAGCCAAGAAGGCAACGGGTCGCCTCTGGAGGGGGCAGGGGCACCCACGATACGGCGCCCGAGGGCTGCCGGGTTCGGTGGCATGCCTCGACCCCAGGCAGCTGCCTTCGCTACGTCAAGGTAAAGCCCTTGGAACAGGGACGCCCGTGTGTGAACCAGGGTGGAGGCGGTGTCCCCTTAGCCTTACATAAACTAACAGCCTGGCTCCCTGGCCCTGAAACAGAATGAGCCTATGTCTGCCTCGGGCGAGGCAAAACCAAGTCCTCAGTCAGTCAGTGGGAAGAGTACATGGAGGGCCAAATGTAGCTTTGGCTTGAAGAACTCAGTTGGTTCAACTGACACATGTTTTTCATTCAATGCTGCCTTGGGTTTGACTGTGGATGTGTTGTTGTGTGCGGGGTGGGGAGGGGGAGGGCAGGGATTAAATCATCCTTCTGGAAAAGAGAAATAGCAGTGTATCAGATCTGTAGAGAGACAGACACACACGCAGACACGGAAGAGGTTCACATCCCCATTTTACTGATGGGCATACTGAGGATCCAAGAGGTGAGCTGCTAATAAGCAGAGCAGCAAAGATTCAAAGGCAGACAGGAAGATCCCACCATCCACTCTTCTCCCCACCATACTGTGGTGTTAGGGCTAGAATTAGTCCTACGTGCTGCCTCACCATCTGGGGAAAACCAGGAGGGCCTCAGCCTACATATAAGTTCCCGTGCCCACTGTGATCCCTCGGATAAGGTCCCCTGGCCCAACAACCCTCTGTGTCACAGAGACCAGGCACAGTTCCTGCCTATCCCTGAGGAGCGGCCTTCCATCCTCTGCCAGCCCTCGGGATTACTCAAACAAGACAGTCACATCCTCCCGTGGGGGGTAGTGGTCACCTCACCCTCTTGACACTACCAAGTCGGCCTCCCACAGACCCTGGATGTTCACGGCCTTTCCAAGTGCAACTCTTCCTCGTGCCCCCCGCCAGCCTGGGACCCCAGCTGGCATGTGGCCTCGTCCTCCCTCAGACTGACTACATGTGACTGATACACTGCTGTCCATCTCATCTGTCCCCTGCTGGATGTTTGGCCATCCCCATGAAGGCCAGGAATCGCTCCCTCACACACCACAGTGCTCCCCAAGAAAGGCAGGCCGATGAGGACATCCAGAGAACGGACCGTTGCAAAGCCCCCTTGAGATTTTGCCTTGCCAAGTGCTTCCCCGCAGGGGAAACAGCTGCTCAGCGCCCCAAGAGGTGGGAACTGTGGACCCTGCAATTCACTAACAGAACCTCAGATCGTCCCCGGACTGGCTCTGAGGGCCACCAAGTGGTCCTTCTTCCTTCCCCATCCCACTGTCACCCTCCCACCTGGTGGGAGGAGCTCTGAATTCTGCAGCCTCCACTTTTCTTCCACGTGGAGCCCAGGCAGGAGCCGCAGAGGAATCCCCAGCAAGCCACCCCAGGGGCAGACAGCGCTCACGCACCTGGGGAGAGGTGAAACCCTGATTAACTGAACCCAACTAATCAGAACCATCGATTCACGGAGATCTCCTTTTGCTTCCTCCCAGGAGACTCCGAGCTCAGGGATGGAGGAACTCGTAATTTAAAAAGAAAAACTGTTTTCTTAGCTTTTCTCAGGTTCAGCTTTGATCCAGCCCACTTTATCATGAGAACTGCACGTGTGACTGGAAATTTTCTAGAGGCAATGTTTAAAAAAAAAAAAAAAAGCAAAGAAATGGGAGAGATGGGTTTGAATAATCTATTTTAGTTAACCCAATATATTCAGAATATTATTTCATCACATAATCAATATGAAGAAGTATCAGTGCACTGTTTTATGTTGTCTGGGTTGTACTTGGTCTTTCCCACACCTAGAGAGCATTTCCAGAGCTTGCGGGGGAGGGCGCACAGATGGTGGCCTCCACGCTGGACAGCAAAGACTTGGAACAAAGTCTTACGTGGCTATTTAGAATGCTGATTCTGGGCATTTCCAACAAACCAGTCACCGGTCAACAACTCCTTGCTTGCGAAGTGTCTTCTCCCAACTGGCTCAATGCAATTAACAGGCTGATCTCAGGCTCAACTGGGTCTATGAGGACCTGCAGGGGGGCGGGGGGGCTGCCAGGGCCCTTCTCCACCCCCAGGGCCCTTCCTCACGGAAAGGAAGCCCCCACCCCACTCCCTGCCTCTTTCTCAGCGATACCTACCCCTTGAGATACCCCGAGTATTCGCTCCACCTTTCACTTGCAAGAACTCACACTTCAGAAAAAAAAAAAAAGTTAATACTTCTTCAAAAAAGCCTTTTTCCTGCTAACCACCAAGGAATGGGTGAAGTTTGATGGTGCCCACAAAAGCCTTCCCCAAAGACGCTTGCGGTCAAGCAGGAGCAGTGATAAATCCTGCATGAAAAAAAAAAAAATCAACTACCAATGGATCTGGTAGAACTCGGTTGTTGCTGCCCGGAAGGAGGACTGACCATCCTATGAGGCAGGTACCAGGATGACAGAACGGAGGGCAGAAAAATGAAGGGGTTACCCACCTGCTGCAGACGAGCCAGGAACAGAGTCACCCTTCCCAAATATTAATCATTCATCTGCTAACGTTTCCAATTTTGCCCTATCCAGGGAGCATCTGTAGTTTTCTTTATTTACCAATGCTCCTAAAATCAGCTCATCTGTATTTTTCTTTAATGAACTAATTTAAAAAGGAAACATTACCCGTAAATTGAAAAAAAAAACCCAATATAATTTGCCATAGAATGTAACCAGGAAAAGAAACAGATAGCTATTAATTTCTTTAAAGTCTGTTCATGCAGTGCTTGAGATGATCTTGTGCACCACCGTCTCATCTGTGACACACCTGAGCTTTGCCTGGAGGGCTGGCAAGACTTGTGTAGGAGGGGGGCCGGGAAGACACCCCAGGTGGAGTGCGCCCCGGGGAGAAAGGCGCAGAGCGGCAATGCAGGCAGGAAACGGACACCCGCATAATTAAATCACCACAAGCACTTTCAGGTACGTGCAGTGGATTGAGCACGTGGGGAATTCAGAATGACCCCGTGGGAAGTATTTTAAAAGCAAGGATTCAAACAATAGTGTTCTCCTAACTCCCAGTTAAGCCGAAAACAATTAACCGAAGCCCCCAGTGCCTCTCCCTCTTGTTTCCCAACCCAGTCCTCTGACCGCATTTTTCCGGTGGGGGGGGGGGATCCTATTTCCTGGATGAAGAATTCTAAATGCAGATGTCCAAGGTCAGGGGGAGGGGAATGGAGAAAAGGTGGGCAGTCAAAGGCCAATGAGAGAGGATGTTGACACCACAGGAAGCCCATCACCCTCTGGAGAGTGTGTGAATTCTCCCAGGGCAACCCAAGCCACCAGAGACACACACATACCTTGTAAAAGGTCAACTTCTAAATTGGTCAGGCAAGTCTAGCCCGGCTGAATTCCATAGGGAGGGGGGAAGGGCCAGCGTGATCTCTGATCCAGCTGAGCTGACATCCCCCAAACACAGAGGCTTTTGCAGGTGTGTGAGATCAGCCCCTTCTCCCAGCGAGTGGCTGCCTCCTTGGGGCCCCGAAAACCTTGACAGTGAAGAGCAGTCCCAGAGAGGACACTCGCCCTCTCTCTCTCTCTCTCTCTCTCTCTCTCTCTCTCTCTGGACTGCAATGTGACTTCCTTGCCTACATAACCAGAGATCGTGCCTTCAACAGCCCTTGGAAAAGAAAGTCATATATTCCGCAATACGATATTCATTAGACGCTATCATGGCATTTTATAAGGTCGTATATAACACCAGCTGTAGCTGTAAAAAAAATTTACTATTCAGACCCAGAAAGGCATATAAATCCCCACAAAGTGCAGGTTTTTCCTTTTAAAAAGGGGTTTAATTCTTCCTACCTATTGCTTCCATCCCTTCCTGGGAGACTGAACTTGAAATTCCACCCAAACTCCTGGGTGCAAGATTCCGGTGCTCGGTCCGAGGAAGGCCCCCCGCCCCCAGCAGGGAAAATGGGGTGAGGGGCTCCAGAGGGCCTCATCCACTCCACCTGCTCCTGTGACAACCTCACAAGATGTTGCCCCACCTCCCGTGCCCGGGGAGTATTTCGTCTTTCCACCAAACGCGTCCTTCATTCATGCCTTCCTAGCCCGACTTTCTCTGTACCCTGCCCCCACTTGCTCAGATCCTACCCTGTCCATTCTGTGTGTTAAAAACCCCTCGAATATGTCCTCTCTTCTCCCTTCTCACTGTCACTGCTCCAGTTCAGACCTTTGTCTGAGTTCCGGGCTGAACATCCCCCCTGTCCCGCTGCCACCGGACTCACCTCTGCAATCCGTTCCACACGTGGCAGCCAGAGTGACGCTCCCAAACGGACCTCGGACCATGCTACTCTGCTACACAAAAACCTTCAGGGCGGGCCCCGTTGCCTGTTAGGTGAATCTCGAGCTCTCTGATGGGCTTCTACTACCTGGGCCTGCGCCCAGCTCCACAGTCTCTTGCTGTTCTTGTCTCCTCCACCTGTGCTTCATTAACACCACATTTCTGTGATTTCTTGATGGGACCCATGCTATCTCTGTTTTCTCTGGGAATGTTCCGCACGTCCCTTTGTCCCTACCTCTCCTGGCCAACTCTCATTCACCCTTTAGGATACGGTGTGGGCAACAGCTCCTCCAGGAAGCCCTCCGGGATTATTCCGGGTTCTACTGTTTACTCCTACATTATCACAGACCTGATAATGCCCCAGAAGGGAGAAATAGCAAAAGTCCATTGATCTTACAATAATTCATCTCCAAATGATCGGGGGGCGGTGGGGAAGGACAGAGAAAGACAGGGAGACATAGCCTTGGGATAACGTGGGAGCCCCTGTTCACCATTTCGCTCAGTGAGTACACACCATCTTGCAATGATCTGTCTCTCCATCAGGCACAGAGGTGTCCCTGGGCTTGCGGGCGGGGCGGTCTGTGGAGAGAATCCCGAGGGTCCTAAACACATACATATTGATTTTCATCATTATTTGCACTAACTCTAACTGAAATTTGGCAGGTCCTCCAGTTACCGATGTAGGCACCAGACTGTAGGGGGATTTGCGAGACCTGAGACTGACACCCATGGAAATTAGATATTTTCCTATCACACTGCTCTGGTAGCAGATGCTCAAAATATTATTTATACTTGTCACTACTTCAAAATTACGGTAGTTATTAGACCTGCAGCCAAATCCAGTTACTTAATGTGTTAATAAAGATGCAAACGCATTATTACTCCACACACTTGTTATGTTTATATATATTTTGATAGCTACACTTTAATGTAACTGCTTGCCTTTGTAATCCCATGCATCCATTTTTTTTTTTGCATTTAAAGTGTTATTTTATTTTTTTGAGATTTTATTTCTTTATTTGACAGAGAGAGAGAGCAAGAGAGGGAACACAAGCAAGGGGAGCAGGAGAGGGAGAAGCAGGCTTCCCGCCGAGCAGGGAGCCCGATGCGGGGCTCAATCCCAGGACCCTGGGACCATGACCTGAGCCGAAGGTAGACACTTAACGACTGGGACACCCAGGCACCCCTAAAATGTTCTTTTAAAAAAGTGCGTGGGATATGGAAAAAAAATTTAAAAAATAAGGTATTATTCAGAGAAGGGGGCCACAGGTTTCTCCAGATGCCAAAGGGGTCCATGACACAGAAAAGATTCAAATGCCGTGCTCTAGATGTGAGCTCCCTGAGCACGGGGCCCTGGGTCCTTCATCACCCAATCCCTAGTATCTGAAGAAGTGGTCAGTGTAAAGTAGGGATTTTTTTTATACGAACTGACACGAGGTATTTATCCATCTATTCATCTACCTTCCTTCCTTCATCTGTCATCTTTTATTCCTCTGTCCATCTGTCTAATCCAATGCACAGTTCTAACTCCTGACAGTTCCTCCGAAGGCCCCAGACCCAGTTCTGCAGTGCAGCTGGGGACTTGGTCAGGAGGCAGTGTGATTCAGTCTGACAAAGGTGATGCCATCTTCTTGCGTGGCCTTGGGTATGTCGCTGAATGTGCCTGGAGCTCAGCTGTCTTGCAGGCACCTCGCACAGGGCTCTGTCTCTAGCGCTCACACCACAGGCTGGGGCCTCAAGCCCAGGCACCACAGCCTAACAGTGTCCAATCCATCTGCTTTCCAAAGCCCAGGAGTGCTTTGCTTTTGTTTCCAAAGTATCAGCGTGGCTGAGTCCTCAAAGAGGGTCATGGCTATTACCAAATGCCCCGATCTGCAAGGCATGGTGGTTAAGAGTTCTGCCTAGGTCCAAATACCAGCTCCCCACTTCCTGTCCACATGATACACGACCTTGGGCGACGCTGAATCTGCTCCTCTCCGAGCCCCAGTTTCATTGTCTGAGAGTGAGGATATGAACTGGACCTCCTTCTGCAGGGCTCACAGGGACGTTAAGTGAGTCAACACTCAGAGAGTACTTAGCACAATGGCTGGCTAAGCCAGTCTTATTTATCATGTCTCCAAGGAGGCATCCTCCAGTACCCAGGAAAAAGCAACAGATCCCGCTTAAAAAAAAAAAAAAATACTCCAACCCACTCCTATCTGAAATGCAAATCAAAGCGGCAATATAGTGTTTTTACCCCATCGGCCTGACAGAGATGAAGACTGATACATTGATAATTACCCACTGCTTTTGAGAGTGAAAACAGGAAGTCGCGTTGAGAGGTGATCAGAAGAAACCTCTGCATAGGTCAATTCAGCTACGCCTGTCCAAATGTAAAAGGCACACACCCTTTGAGTCATGATCCCAAATTCAGTCCTTCACCCTACACATGTACATACTCAGTGCCGAGAAGTTGTGTGTACGAGAGTGGCAGTATTAACAGAAAAAAAAAAAAAAAAGGGAAAAAAATCTAAATGTCCACCAACAGGAAGTCAGTGACATAAACGATGAAAGAATTCATTCAATTAGTATTTAACGAATAGTTTCTACACACAAGACACCACGCTGAGCGCTGGGTAACAAGCCGGACAAATCAGAAGGCAGTTCAAAACAGTAAGGATGAGCAGTACGTGTGGATATGAAATGAGCATAAGATATAGAGAAAGAAACTGTGAGTTGTTATAAAATATGTTTCATTAGATTCCAGCTCATGCAAACAAATAAAATCCTTGTCTATGCACACATCCCACATGTGCTAATATGCAAAGCAAAAATGGAAAGAGGAAGGAGAAAAAGGTTACTGGTTGCTACCTCTGAAGACTGGGGACAGGGGTATGGGAAATTTGACTTCTCACTTGATACTCTCTGTATTATGTGATTTTTAAAAAAAATTTCTGATCGCGTGCTTGTATTGTTCTACATCCTTCTAAACCACAGTAAGTTCCGTGGCTCTGCCCTCAGAAGGATCCAGAATCAAACTACTTCTCTGAGCCTCCATGGTTAACACCCCAGTCCAAACCACCACGGCCCTGCTCTGGAGACTGTGACAGCCCCCTCCCTCCCCCATCTCCCTGCTCTTCCCCTTAACCAAGTACAGTGCCCTTTCAGCACGGCAGGCACCGATTCCATTGTCCAAAGTCAGGCCATGTCACTCCCTGCTCAAAATCTTCTGAAGGCTTGCCTTTCTAAGTTCAACAAGATCCTAATGATCTGGCTTCACCCTCACGCCTTTTCCCCTTGCTCACTCCTGCTTTTACCCATACTGGCTCCTAATGAATGACCATGCCGAGCACACCCTACCTTAGGGCCTTTGCACTGGTTGCTCTCGGTTCCTCTACCTATCTGCAGGGCTCACCTACTCACACTCTTTAGGTCTCTGCTTGAACATTCCCTTATCTCTATGCTCTCCTTGGCCCCACCAAAGTCGAAGGGCCACCCCTCCTTGACTGACCTGGCCTGGCCCACCCCTCTCCTGCCTAACTGTTCTTAGTACTCGTCACCATCTGATACAAACATATGAACACACATCTCTCATTTACAGTCTATCTAGGATGTGAGCTCATGAGGTCAGGGACTTCTGCTTGTTCACTGCTGTATCTCAGGTCCCTAAAACAGTGTCTAGCACATAGAAAGCATTCAATAAATATTCAGTGAATGAATTAATCAGTAACAATAAAATAATACAATGTACTATTGATAATTACAAGTATGAAAAATAAATCCCCCAAAAAGACCTCACCCCCCCAAAACCGATCAATAAGTAGAAATTAAAACCAAGTACGTTCCCAGCCACAGCTGCCTTCAGAACACAGGGTGGAGATCACCCAAGGACAAAGTAACGCGTCAACACCTAACAGCCAGCACAACACACAGCGGCCCGGTTGTTTGAGGCTGACGCTCCGCACACAGGACTCTTTCACGGACTGGAGAGAGTAAAGAGCTGCTTGTCTGAAGGCAGCACAGTGAGGGTCCAGTAACCAGGAGTGACTACCAGCCGGGTTAGAGCACATGACGGCCCCAAAGCCGCAGACTATTTCCGGCTGTCAGGCGAGCCCACACCCTCCCGAGACAGCCAAGCCGCGGCCCATCTGCCAGCCCCACGCCTGCGGTCTTCGAGGGGACGGGCTTCTGGGGCTGTGCCCGGGATTCAGCCCACCCGCCACCGCGGGTCAGAGCTGGGGCTTGGGGTCTCATCCCCCAGGAGCGCATCGAGGGCCCCCCCCGACCCTCCTGTGCTTCAGGGTTTGCTGGTTTTTCAGGGGAAGAAGAAACGTTTGAGCTTTCCTCTGTATCTTACCTCATTCCCACTGAGAGGCCAGGCAGGTGCTAATTTGCTTATAACCCAACCCAAAGGAGGTCATGTGAGGGCAGAAACTTAAAATCCAATGACTGACAGCTAGGTGCCCAACCAGTGGACCTGACCTCACCCTGACAAGCGCCCTTTCTGACAGTGAGCTGACGTGCACACAATCCCTGCAAACCACACTTGGTGACGCCGGTGGTTCTCAGCTGGGGTGCATTTTGCCCCCAGGAGACATCTGTGGCCACGTCTAGAGACATTTTTGGTTCTTACGACTGGGGAGGGGTAGTGGCTAGAGGCCGGGGATGCTCCTAAATATCCTACAGGGCACAGGCCAGCCCCCGCCCCCAGGAAGAATGCTCCAGTCCAAAACGTCGGCGACGCTTCGGCAGAGCGACACTGGTGGATCAGGAAGGAAGGAGGTGGCTCTGGGGGGAGGAGATCCACACATGACCTACGGGCTGGGGACAGAAGGGCAGGAGTGATGAGACCCTGTCCACCCTCCAACTCTGGGGCTACTAACACGGTCCTGGCAGGAAGCTGCCTGGGGGCTCTCAACCCTCCAAAGGGGGAAGTTGCTCCTTGCTACTTAGCTGACTTCTAGAGGCCCGCTGACCTTCCAATTTTTCACAAAACTCTTCCAACCCCCTTTCCCTTTCTCTTCTCCCCCCGCCCCCCCCCCAAAAAAAATCCCAAAACAAAAACCATGGGCCAGTGGGAGAGAGTCAGCAGGAGGCTCATGTACAGCTTTGGGTCTAGGGCCGCATAATGAAAAAGTCAGCTCCTGCTTCCCATTAACCGGAGCCAAATTATAAATTGGGGCAGTCAGCATCTGGAAAAGGAGCTGCTTTAGGCCCCTTTTACAGCTGGAGTTTCTCTCTGCTAGCACTGAGTTGGCTGGGGTGTTCTTTCTGGGGACAGTGAAACTGCCCAACTGTCCTTGGCCCCACCCATCTGGCACCTGCTCTGAGTAAACTCCAGTTTTCCATGCTTCCTCCTTTCCTCTTCCTTGCAGTGGAAAAAAATCAGAGCTACAGTTCCCAGAAGAAAATGAGAAGCGCTTATCATTATTAAGAAGATGTTCCTGCTCAGGAAGGCAATTGAGGGCAGCAGGAGGGTTGCAGGGAGTTGGGGGGGGGGCAGCTCACTGTTCCGTCCGCTGTGAGAGGACACACCTGCCCCCCCCCCCCCAGGACCTGCTAGGCTGGAGAAATGGCAACGGGAGGGGGGCTGGCCCTCCCGGTGGCTCTCAGAGGCCCAAGGAGGGGTGGTGGCACTTCTGAGAAAACAGATTCAAATGCTAAAATGATTCGATTTCCTGGAGGTATGACAGAGAACAAAGGCGAGTATGCCAAGGCGAGTATGCCAAGGCCTTGCTTGCTGGCAAGAAGAATCTGTCTTCTGTCTGTCTGTTCTGGGGCTGCTGGAAGGAGCGAGTGGCTTGCCCTCCCCCCCATGTTGTCACCCTAGACCTGAGCCCCTCCCCAGGTGAAGCAGCCCTTCTTGGCCTTGGAGCCAAGACGGACAGAAGGGGTGTGAGTGAGCGCTGAGACTCAGAGCAAAATGTCCCGTCTGGAGCCTCTCTTTTCACATATGTGGGT